AAATTTATTAAATAAATAACCACCTAACTGGTATATAAACATGACAAAAACAATGGGGTGTGGGAATAATAGGCATTTGTGAAACACTGCCGCAGGAAACACAAAAGAAACAGCACTATACCTCAGATTCTGAGACCATGGCTATCAAATGGGTATTGGCACTGCTTGTATTTCTGAACTGGAATTACTCCTCATTCCTTAGTAATAGTTCTATGACCTGACATTAAGCTGGTCTCTGGCTCTGGCTGCTACATTTCCTGCCTTCTAATCCAGAGCAAGGCCTTTCAAGATGCAGCTGTTCTTTCTTTTTATTCTATTGACCTGCTGAGTTTAGCAAATGATGTCAGTATACTTACAGAGCCCAGGTTTCCAACACTCTGAATCTGACATGCTGATCTCTCAGAGGGGGACCTCCCCAGGCTCTGAAGAGAGCTCCTTAATCTGGGCCTCCTCCATGACAAACTTTCTTTCTTTTTTTTTTTTAAGAGACAGAGTCTCACTTTATCACCCTCAGTAGAGTGCTATTGTGTCACAGCTCACAGCAACCTCCAACTCCTGGGCTTAGGTGATTCTCTTGCCTTAGCCTCCTGAGTAGCTGGGACTACAGGCGCCTGTCACAACACCTGGCTATTTTTTGGCTGCAGTTTGGCCAGGCCAGGTGTGAACCTGCCACCCTCAGTGAATGGGGCCAGTGCCCTACTCACTGAGCCACAGGCACCACCCTTTGTTTTTTTTTTTTCAACACAGAGTCTCAAGCTGTTGCCCTGGGTAGAGTGCTGTGGTGTCAAAGATCACAGCAACCTCAAACTCTTAGGCTTAAGTGATTCTCTTGTCTCAGTCTCCCAAGTAGCTGGGACTACAGGCCCCCACCACAATGCCCAGCTATTTTTGTTGTTGTTGCAGTTGTTATTGTTGTTTTAGCTGGTCAGGGCCAGGTGTGAACTCACCAGCCTTGGTGTATGTGGCCAGCACCCTACCCACTGAGCTATGGGTGCCACCCTGCAAACTTTTTTTTTTTGAGACAGAGTCTAGCTTTGTTGCCCTAGGCTAGAGTGCTGTGGTGTCAGCCTAGCTCATAGCAACCTCAAACTCCTAGGTTCAAGTAATCCTCCTGTTTCAGCGTCCCAGAGTGCTAGGATTGCAGGCACAAACCATCATGCCCAGCCCCCCATGGTGAACTTACCTGTTTCACAGCAATGCTAACCCGGACAGAGTTGATGGAGCCCTCAATCAGAACCTTTTCCTTTTCATTTCTGCTGATAGTCACAGGTTGTAACAGGAGTTCTTTGCTACTCCTGAAAACACAATATCACAGAGTCCTCTGTAGTATAGAGGGATAGAACATTTAGGGGGACCCCATTGCAGATCCTAGAATCACTGAGACCTGAGCCTAAGTAGTAGAACACTTAAAAGCAGGGTGCTCAAGATGGGGTCCAGTAAGCATGTTCTCCAATAGAAAGAGCACAGGCTCTAGGGTCAAGGTGAAATGCTCCTAAATCCAGCCTCCTCTGTTACTTTCCCTGGCCATGTTACCCTGCTGGAATCTTAATTTCCTCATCTGTAAAATGACTAAGGCCTATTTCTTTCTTTCTTTCTTTTTTTTTTTTTGGCCTGGGCTGGGTTTGAACTCGCCACCTGGCATGGGGCTGGCGCCCTACCCTTTTGAGCCACGGGTGCCGCCCTACTAAGGCCTATTTCACTGGTGAGGGCTGAGAAGGATCAAAAAGGGAAAAGTGTCTAATAGTGTACCTGGCACATGGTGGGAGCTTTACAAAGTACATCTGATTTTAATAACTATAGGCTAAACATCCCTAAGCTAAAAATCTGAGATCCTAAATGCTCCAAAATCCCAACCTTTTTGTATGCCAACACAACACTCAAAAGAAATACTCCATGGAACATTTAGGATTAGAGATGCTCAGGTGGTTAAGTATGTGCAAATATTCCAAAATCCAAAATCCTTCTGGCCGAAGCATTTCAGATAAGGGACACTCAACCTGTACAGGCAAACTAAGATACCATTTAAGGAATGAGGAAGGAGCACCAGACTTAGAGATAAGGACAGGCTAAAACTGAACAGTCTGGCCTCCTTTAATTATCGATCCAGAAATGATTAGATTATTCACTTTTGAGGTAGCCAAGGTCCCAAGGTGATGCAACTGAATTCCTAGGTATGCATAATGACAGGTAACTGTGGTGGTGATAGAATCTGTGAGCTGTAATCATTTTCAATGCCTACTGGAAACCATATATTTTTTTTTTTTTTGGTAGAGGCAGAGTCTCATTTTATCACCCTTGGTAGAGTGCCGTGGGGTCACAGCTCACGGCAACCTCCAACTCCTGAGCTTAGAGATTCTCTTGCCTCGCCCTCCTAGCTGGGACTACAAGTGCCCACTACAACGCCTCGCTATTATTTTGTTGCAGTTTGGCCGGGGCCAGGTTTGAACCCTCCACCCTCAGTATATGGGGCTGGTGTCCTACCCACTGAGCCACAGGCACCATCTGGAAACCATATATGTTAACCAGCATACTAGGCATATCCTCTTACAACTCAACAGTTAGCAATTACATATATCCCAGGTTTCATTTTAAAGGGGAAAATAGAATAATTTATTTATAAAATGGAAATGGAGAGAGAAAAATCATTTAAAATACGGAACATTTGGAGTACAGGGTAGGAAGATCTAGGCTACTAAGGGAAACAAAAATCCTTGATCCTTAAATTAGAAAAGAAAAAAGGGCTCAGCGCCTGTAGCACACTGGTACAACGCTAGACACATACGCTAAGGGTGGTGGGTTCGAAACCGGCCTGAGCCAGCTAAACAACAATGACAACTGCAACAAAAAATGGCTGGGCGTTGTGGTGGGCATCTGTAGTCCCAACTACCTCGCAGGCTGAGCAAGAGAACTGCTTAAGCCCAAGAGTTTGAGGTTGCTGTGAGCTGTCATGCCATGGCACTAGAGTGGGACATCAACCAAGGGCAACATAGTGAGACTTTGTCTCAAAAAAAAAAAAGTAAGAAAAAGGTATCTTAGATGACTAAATTCTCCAAGTATTCCTTAAACTGCCAGGGGGTTCAATAATACTACAGGATGCTTCATAAAGAACCCTGCTCTGGCTCGGCGCCTATAGCTGGGCCGGCTAAGGCGCCAGCCACCTACACCTAAGGTGGCGGGTTCGAATCC